AATTCTGCATTTCCTCCCTATACCTTAAGTTAAGGAGTGAATGTTCCCCCTTCTTTTACACCTCTTGACCTTTGACCTTTGACCCCCAGCTTCGACATCCCAACTCGTTTTGACGATCCCCCCCAACGACCCGAATATCGTGACCGTACGTCGAGCGGTTAAGATTTGTGCCCAACTGTTGACGGACGGACGGACGACTGGCCGGACGGACGATCATGCGATTCTACAAGCTGCATCTGACTATGTCAGATGAGCTAAAAATCAACACAGCAATGTGATAAATGTGTACTTTTAATTATTTAAATTAGTATGTGGGTTAATTTATAACATTCCTATTAGATTTAACTTTTAGTTTAAGATTAGTTTAGATTTTAGAGTTTACGTTAGATCTCTCTTAGTTAACAAATATTTAAAACTTATAAAAGGATACTCAACAAAACAGAATCCACAAGGTGTCTTGGTCACTTTATCCAGGCCCATTATAACACGCTTCAAGTCTCCACACTTCATGAACAGTTCATAGATTTGTTCTTCTGTTGTGTAAAATGACAAGTTTCCGATGTATACGGTTGAGCTTAATTTGAGCAACCGCTCCTGCTCCGCCCGGCTACCCTAAAAATAACATAGAAATGCCATATAAACTCCATCACAATGCCTTGCCGAATTCTTCTTTGAAATCAATCGATGAATATTTTTACATCTGCATGTATAATCCGGTGATAACACAGGGCGACTAAACCTATCGACCTCAGATCAGTCGAAAGCCCTGTAACTTCCCAAATTCCACAGGAAATATTAGGTGTGCTGATGTTACAGATTGCCATTGGACATGTGGCGTAGTTTACATGATTAGTTCAGTTGTGTACTTACACTGTCAACCTGTTTCTAGCACAGCACATCGTCTGCACTGAGAGACCACGCACATGTATCTTAACGAATGAAAGTAAACTGCCAAAACGTTATTAACGGACTATATTAAAGTAACTATTGCGAGAGTTTTCCAGTGTTTTCCCCACTTTCATGATACCTACCGTTATTGCTTGAGTAACAGAAATTGTCTAGAGTAACGATAAAATGTCTTAGAACCTTCGTATTCACCAAATCATGCACGATTACAATTTTGCGTTCTGTTTATGTTTACCGTTGCCATCTCTCGGACTTTCTCGCGGTAGCGCGAGACATTATCACGGCGCAGTAATGCATATAGTCGCACCGCAGAAATCAGGTCAGGGTGTAAACACAGACGTTCATACTAGCGTAACAGGAGTGTAGTACTAATGCCGCATAAAGTCTGTTATTAGAGAAGCTTGTAGATTAACAGTCAGATAGTAACACGGGAATGACAATGACAGAAAGTGCTCTAAATTATTGACATAAAAACTCAATAATATTTACCACACAGAATTGCACGCTCTTTTGTTTTAATTATGCACTTGGTTTGAAGGCGCCATTTGTGATTTTGAGAGTCGGCATACGATAAAATTTATTGCTGGTATGATGTGGTCAAATCAATTTTTCAATGCTATAACTGCATAAAGTGTTTTTAATGTTGGTCTAATCAGTGATGTTTCTGCTGTCAGGTGAGAGTAAATTCAGCTATATTTAGTTTTGAATTTTGCACAGGGGAGAGATAGTGATCCGCTAGGGGACGGCTCTTATTGGCTAATTTTGTCTCTTATTTACTTTATTAGGATTAGGGTTAGGGTTAACGGATTTCTATATTCACTATCTCTCCCCTGAGATCTACTATTTAGTTTGTCTCACTGGCAGCAAGAAGAAGTCCGCATCCGCAGCTACAGCACACACGCGGCCATTGACTATATACAACAACATGGTGACTAACTCGCCGCCACAGTTTCCACAACTCACCGTTTTCAATCAGTTACAACTCCGGTGTTCTTGCAGGTGACGCCACTTCAACTATCGTTGGAATCGCAGAAGAGTGCTGAACAAGCTACACCCGCCATTTTTGACAATCGGCCCGCCAGAATGCGCTCAAATTACAGAAATTCCTCAAATATACATGCAAAATGATCTTTCGGATGCTACTAGGCAAGAAGGCGGCTGCGCTAATTGGCTGCAGCAAGTTCTTGTGCACCGCCACTTCGCCCAGTAATAGACAAACCCGCATCCTGCTATACTAGGCAATACAGATCGACGAGCGTACAGCGAGAGAGAGGGTCCGTCTAACATGACTCACCCACAATGTCAACAAACGTGGTTGCGCAGCCTGTCTGCACGTTAAACTTGCTGCAGCCAATCAGCGCAGCCGCCAGCGGTTGGGCGCAGCCACCTTCTTGCCTAGTACTAGCATCCAAAAAATCATTTCGCATGTATATTTGAGGAATTTCTGTAATTTGAGCGCATTCTGGCGGGCCGATTGTAAAAAATGGCGGGTGTAGCTTGTTCAGCAGTCTTCCGCGATTCCAACGATAGTTGGAAAGTGGCGTCACCTGCAGGAACACCGGAGTTGTAACTGATTGAAAACGGTGAGTTGTAGAAACTGCGGCGGCGAGTTAGGCACCATGTTGTTATATATAGTCAATGGCCGCGTGTGTGCTGTAGCTGCGGATGCGGACTTCTTCTTGCTGCCAGTGGTTTGTCTGAGCCAAAAAACTCGCAGTAGCCAATACACACTTTAATAATACTAGTACTAGTAGTAGTACTAGTAGTATTACTATCAGGAGTAGATAATAGGGAAGGAGTGTGACATCAATAAACAAGGGAAATTCGTCATTTACTAGCCTTATAATACCTACGATTTACTATGCGTAACTCATCCAACTTGAGCTCAAATCGGACACAGTACATTCGCCTAGCATCGTGCGAAATCGTTTCCTCGTATACACCCGCAATCCGGAGATACAGACTAAAACGTACGACACGATTCTCCATTCTTTGGCCATCAATCCAATTCCATTGCACGCCTCTAATTCAAACAAAAGGCAGCTACCTAACGCGCTATTGCTAACTCGGCGAGGCATGTGGCTCGCTGGGAGCTTAGGCATCAACACTCGGCGAGATAACCTTTGACCCGGTACACAGCTACCTCTGCACATAGCTGGGATGCCTTCACGCACGCACGCCAACCGCAATCAGCAGCAGCTGATCGGGCTCAAATCTCCCAGCGAGCAACATTGCCCGCCGAGTTAGCAAGCTATGGTTAGGTAGCTGCCTTTTGTTTGAATTAGAGGCGCGCAATGGATTTGGATTGATGGCCAAAGAATGGAGAATCGTGTCGTACGTTTTAGTCTGTATCTCCGGCTTGCGGGTGTATACGAGGAAACGATTTCGCACGATGCTAGGCGAATGTACTGTGTGCGATTTGAGCTCAAGTTGGATGAGTTACGCGTAGTAAATCGTAGGTATTATAAGGCTAGTAAATGACGAATTTCCCTTGTTTATTGATTATGTCACACTCCTTCCCTATTTTTACTCCTGATTATTATTGACCGTGTTGTTTAAAACATCTAAACGTACCCTGAAATGTTGGTCACGATAAGAGCTTAGCTCTATTGATGACATGCTTCTTATTTACTGTGAATACGCCTTTGCTGTTTTATGCGACTTAAATCGACGATTAACACGCAACAATAACCAACGTCTGTCTTTTGCAAAATTTCGACTATTTAATTCCGCATGGCGGCGCTGCCATTAGAATTTCATGTAAAATGCACATACTTCCTTTGAATAAATTTATCTAGATACTAAACCGCAATATAGACTGCTGGTATACAAAGCCGATAAATACCATATTTTAATTAATAATTTGATTTTAATCAAATAATTATAGGCCTATATATAATTATTTTTATGTGGAAAACTACTAATCCGGTTACATACAGACATTGCGAAAATCCAATATGTCGCTGTACATGGTATGATGGTAAATAACGTTGTAATAAGAATACAAACTGAAAATGCGTTTTGAATACATTAAAAAGAGTATAGATTAGATCGCTGTTGTTTGTCTTATACAGAAGCGCTGCCAGACCATTTATGTATGACGTAATAACCGACAATTTGTTGTCATGTTGACTTTCCAAGTTGCAATTGAAGCCAAAATCCAATAATATTAATAAGTCAGATCTACAACTTACAAGTACACGTACAAGTAGTACTACTAGTAGTACTAGTCGGCCTACACGATTATGCATTCATTAAAATTTGAAATGCTGCTGTGGATCGGTTTGGTTGCATTGAGATTGGGATGGACATTTTTGCCACAGACTGGTTATATCCATCCGGATGAGTTCTTCCAATCAACTGAAGTCGTAGCAGGTACAACTAACTAAAACCCATTTACAGTGTATTACTATTAAAATGTGTAGGCCCCTAATTGCAAACATTACTCTGTTCTCTGTTTCTTTCTCTGGATCTCTGTATCTCTGTATACTCTATCTCTGTGTTAGATATATTGCAGTGGCTACGCGTCCGGAACCGGTCGACTAGCCTCCAGGCTACGCGTCCGGACATCCACTCACACAGTGATCGCGCAACTCGCGTACACGCATGATTGCGCAAACGGGACGCTCTGCTGCCGTCTATCCTTTCATCCGTCCTCTCTCGCTCTCTCTCTCTCTCTCTCTCTCTCTCTCTCTCTCTCTCTCTCTACACGCACAGCTCTCTCTCGCTCTCTCTCTCTCTCTCTCACACACACACCTCTCTCAGGGCCTCTCTCTCTCTCTCTCTCACACACACCTCTCTCAGGGCTCTCTCTCACACACACACTTCTCGAGGCTCTCTCTCCACACACACCTCTCTTGAGGCTCTCTCTCTCACGCATACACACACACATACACATTCCCATTCCTCTCCTCTCTCTCTCTCTCTCACACACACAGCAATCAGCTGAGAGCGCGGCAATCGCATGCATGCGTGTACGCGAGTTGCGCGATCACTGTGTGAGATGGATGTCCGGACGCGTAGCCTAGCGGCTCCTCGTCCGGAACCGGTCGCGTAGCCACGGCCTAGATATATTCAGTAAATTGCCTAAATTATAGTTACAAGTTAACTGTATTAAAATCTATAAAAATTATAGAGAATTATTACATGTTACCTGCATTGTGTTACAATACTCAGGCGCTCAAATAATGGAACATGTAATAGTACAAAGCTGTGTCTGGAACCTATTCACATTGGAATGTTTTATTATGAGAAGTAATCTTGTTACACTATACTTAATATTGGTGTTTCTTGTGTTTAGGAGACATCTTTGACCTGGAAGTTATGAAAACATGGGAATTTAACAGCAACCAATCTATACGTAGCATTATTTTTCCATATCTTACATGTGGAGTACCGTACAATATAATCAAGGCTGCGAGTGAAACGTTCGATTGGAAAATTGAATCCTACTGGCTTTTAGTTGGACCAAGGTTTGCAATGACTCTATTGTCACTTCTGATTGATTGGATTCTCTACAGGACATGCAAGGCGTCTGGTGTAACCAATGTCTGGTCGTGTCTCGCAACCTTTGCTTGTTCCTATATAGTGCTGGTTCACCTCACCAGAACGCTATCAAACAGTATGGAGACACTTCTCTTTGCTTTGCTGATATACGTCGTGACACAAAGCTTGCAGTCGCAACATCGCACACTGCTAGGTGGCGCAGCATGTAATGGGATACTGAGAGAGAGCGGCTGCATTGGAGCTATTGTGGTAGCAGGAACGTTCAACCGACCAACATTCTTTGCGTTTGCAGTCGTGCCGTGCTTGTACTGGCTCACCTGCAGGGCGCAAAGCGGATATGTGGAACTACTCGCCGCATTTGTCAACTGCTTGCCGTGGTTGCTGATGACGACGTTTGCATTTGCACTCGGTGACTCTCTGTATTACGGAAGTGTAAGGAGCGCTTGGATTCGGGAAGTTGCAGACCTGCGCACCTGGCCCACGCCACTGCTGACAGCTCTGAAAAACCTCACCTGGACCCCAGTGAATTTTGTAAAGTATAACCTGAAGGATGGCAACTTAGCCTTACACGGATTGCATCCAAAGTATTTGCATTTTCTCGTCAACTTTCCTTTACTGTTCGGTTTGGTGGCATTTGCTAGCATTGTCCTGCCCCTCAAGGACATTGCACAGTCTAGGAGCATTCGCAGGAAAGATGGTCAAGGTAAAATGATGATGTTGCTAAGTATATGGATACCTCTCCTATTGCTGTCAGTGTTTCCACACCAGGAGCCACGATTTCTTATGCCACTGATCATTCCACTTGTGCTGCTGATGCACGAACACATACTAGGAACCAAAGTCCTGACCGTGCTGAAATGGTCGTGGATAATGTGGAACATACTAGGGTGTGTGATATTTGGCGCATTTCATCAAGGCGGAGTGACCAAGTCTTTGTTGTTCCTGAACAACGAGATTGAAGCGAGTTCTGAGAATGTAAGCCACGTCGTGTTTTACTACACCTACATGCCACCTCGACATCTACTGCAAATTCACAAGGCAACTAGCGAAACTTCTACACAAGTGCTCGATTTGTCTGGAGCCACTGTGGAGCAGTTACGTGTCACTATATCAGACATAGCTTCAAAGCAAGAAAAATCTGATGGCAAGAGAAAAGAGATAATATATTTGGTGGCTCCGAGCGTGGTCGATGCATCCGTGGAACAAGTTATCAAGGCATATGACTGGCATGTCGTAAAATTATTCCCGCATATAAGCATGGAGGCTTTACCTAATTGGGAGGAACTATCACAAAACTGTAGGAAGGCGTGGACTGAGACACCTAGCGATAAATCAGCTATGTCGGCTGTGCTGAATGTGCTCAGGAAAATCGCAGAGGCTTTCTCATTGAGTGTCTTTATGCTAAAATAACAATAATAGCAACTTAAACTCAGGTGCAGACTTTAGCATTGCAGTTGAATAGGTTGGTGACAGCAAGACATTTTCCAATTACCATATTTACGATTTGGTTGTCTTTCCTCCATAATGGACCAATGTAATATATAATATATATAATGGTTTAACGACATCATGCATAATAAATAAATGCACAATACCTCAGTGATGGTGGTGAGTTGACGGAGTCCTCCAAACCAATCACGGTAGCAAACAATAATGTGGAAGGTAGGTCGCTGTCTACGTGACCAATTTGAGTTCAGTTCAGTGGTTTACTCAATATCATTTGATGTTTAGACCAGAGAGTGATGTAAAGTGTCTAGCAATGTAAGTGGTCCATGTGAAACTCATGATTTGTAGCTGTGAACATTGTTTCTTGGTTTATTTTTGTAAGTGGTTTATATTAGTTCTAGTGGTAAGCAAAAAGTAGAGCTTGCCTACGCGTGTTGCCCACCTCTACTATTACAATTATTCCTGTAGTAATTCAATGTGAACCACTGTGCATATCGGACTTCGTGTATTAAAATTTGTGGTTCACACATGTACTAAAAAATAAAATGTACTGAATACAGAAACTTTGTAAAACTCTTTGTAAGTTGCCTTTTATACAGTCTGGACGTTCGCGCCTTATAGTGAGTGAAACGATACCCGTCCGCGAAGCAGACTACTTACACGGAGACGGCGATCACAGCTCATTACGAATTCTCCTATTTATGCCGATCGCTCGAAAAGTGGTTAAGTTTTGGTAATCGAACAGTTCGAAGCAAACTTTTGTGTTTATCCGATATGGTATGTAAATAGAAGATCACAAGCTGTACTTCGTTAAATTTCGTGCACTTATTGTGAAAATGAAAATACAAATAGAACTATTTCATCTATCTTGGGTGAGCGGAAGAATCCATGTCAAATGTGAAAATAGGCCTAGAATGTTTCCAAGCCCTTGTCACAAGCTCCATAGACATGCAGCGAACTGACAGCGTACCAGTCTACTGTCTACCCTCTATACCGTCTACAGTCTACCGTGCTACAGGTCGTGCTGCGCAATGCGTAGTGGGAAGACAATATGTCAGCACGCATGTCACCGAATTTACCGCTGCATCGTTAACGAGTGCAAATGCTTAGTGGACTCTACTAGTACTGTTCATCAAGGCGCAGCGGACTTGGAAATAAGGGACAGCTGCGTGAAATAGACTATATATACTGCGACGGTTCGTACATGCCACCGTGAGGAGGAACACTTTCTGTCACCTAGTCTTTTCTTTGGATCCGTTCGCTGGCTTGCATTATGGCGCACGGATCCACGGCACCATCTTATCTTTTCTTTTCCCTCTGCCGCGCGCAGTTCTCTTCTATGTGCGGCCAGTGCTCCATATTTGGCCATCTTCCCTATCATTTCAGTTACACTTGCATCACTTCCACTGGATTGTAAGATATTTCAATTATAGCAGGCTATCTATATTTTCACACTACAAAGCTACATTAGCACCACAGGAAACAACCTAACTAAGCATTGGTGTAGCTATCTTTCCATGTGCTAGTCTCGGAGCTCATAACGTAAAATGCACAACAGAAAACATGTATCCATCTCTTTCTGAATAGGTTCGTGCAGTTACAAACCACGTATGATTCCATGAACTTATGTCTATCATTAAGTGTGTGCAAAATATCGTACACGAATTTTATATCCAATATAGATAGGTTCGTGCTAGTGTGTGAAAACTTTTCACATGGTTTATTAAGATATTTTAATATATCTATATTTGCTCACTCTAGTGTGACAGTTCAAATCGATAAGCACGACTATGTGGACGGAATGATTGTACAATGCAACTCATGACAGTATCACAGCTCGCAATAGGTTGGAGTTATACCAGAATGCATGCACGTAAGTTACATGCGACATTTCTAACACAACCTGCACTTTGCAAATGTAAGACTAAGCACACAGAAGCAACAAAATGCTCTTAAATCATATAACTCACCGAGTCAGACTTAACTAAAAATGAACCTATGAATGCCCACAGACTCATTTGCTTGTGACATTTACACATATGGAAAATATTAACCAATTTCAATTCAATAAAATATCTACAGAAACTACTAGTCAACTAGTACTTACTCGTCAACCATAGTGAAAACTAAATGCATTATTTTAATGCCAGAGATTACTAATTTAACGATGTTGCCAACAATCCATTTGGCTATGTAAACTACCATACTCACAGTTGAAACACATCTAGTAGTCATTACTGCAGCAAAGTGAACATTAGTTGGAATGCATTTAGAGGTGAATGAATGCAAACGTCTTTAGAGAACGAAGCGATCTGCAGACTCATTTCCAGCGGATGAGCTGACGTGGGACATGTCTCCCTTCCCTTCCAGATGTTGTTCTGAGATGCGCTGCTTACCCTCCATCAGGTGAAGAAAATCCGTCCACATCTTCACCTGCGAGGCATGAGATGTTAAAGTACCTCACCCCACAAAGTACAATTCCACGTTTAACTGTATGCCTATGCTCTGCACTGTACCACACCCTTTCATGATTCTACCTTCGATTCTATATAAATCAAATAGCCGCAATGCAAGAAAACCCCACACTCTACGTACATGCTGAAACACACTCAACAAATTTAATACAAAATATATGCGACGACGCACGTGTTGCACAACAGAATTATAATATAACAACAACACTCACCTCTCACCCTCGCGTAGTACAATCACATAACTAGCTTCTTTACTAACCTGTTTCACGTTTCCATCGTGGTTATCTCGGATTGACTTCTGTTTTTCCCTTAGCTGCTTTCCTACAGCCTCTTGCTCGGCTATAACCCTGTTGTACTGCTCTCTATAACAAGCACATATAAATGAACGAATTTCAGAAAATCACATGCTGGCCTATATGTTATTGAAGTTGATAAGTTCATTTGTCTTTATACCAACACACACACTGGATATTTAAATTTACTGTTTTGAGGATTTTTATTAGATTCACGGTTACTGGTCGCACCTGAATGAGTTTCTCTTTGCCTGTGGATCCAGGGCTGCTTGTATCTCAGACTCCACCTTCCTCTCCTGCACTGACAATATCTCTCCCTGACAGCTCAGCAGGTGGAATTTCGACTCCAAACCATTATACTCATCCCACAGAGATTTTACATCCTGTAATATATAGTACAAAGCGTCGTATCTGAAGTGACAACATTACTTGGCTATTTTGATAAATTCAGTATGTGACACAAATTGCGATGAACAATTTTAACAACTGCAAACACCTGACCTTTGTGTTATCAACTTATCATAGAGAACCACCATTATATAATTTCTAAAACCCCAAAAGATAGTCTCTTCTCATCTATTTTTGCTAAAACAAAATTACAGCAAGAATCTCTGCTATGCTAGAACACAGCACAATGTTGGATTCTTGCACACCAATCGTATATGAATCCAGATCGTATATGATCATCGTTAACACCAAGACCATACATGACAAAGACTGTCAAAGATAGCAAATAGTGACTTGTTTCCCCTTATACTAGTCTTTTCAAGTTCTTCCAACTATTTCCGTTTCGAAAAACGGCCTAGAGAACAAACAGTGCTGACTTCTATCACACAGACATGAAGATAATAATTAACATTGTAAAAACAACCCAACAACCGCAAACCTGCAATTTTTTCATGCAACATGACAGCAATTCTAGAATCGCTGTAAAAATTGCTGTGAAATCGCCTACGCCTGCGGGAATGTGCAACTGCAACCCGTTGTGATTCTGGTCGCTTGCGACGAGTTGCAAGAAATCAAACTTGTTGAGCGACTCGTCGCTCCCAATCACTCCCAAATTGTTCTAGAATTGCTTCGAAATCGCACGTGTGCGCACACACGGTGACACATCGACCGATCGCTTGCGGTTGCAGGTTGCAGCGATGAGCAACCAAAAATCGCAGGTCTGCGTTAAGCTTTAGGCAGACTATACCTTACCGCGTTGTTAAAATGCTGCTATATGCTGCTAGTTAGGGGCTGCATTGACCCCCTCCCCCCCCCAAGCGTACGGTTTGTACGCTTGTGAAAATGTTGATAATTGTGCACGACCCCTTACCTGCTCTAGCTGTGAGCGACTGCTCTCTAGCTTGGTGGCGAGTGCATCGTACGTTGCCTTCTTGTCATCAAACTCATGGGTTAGCTCCTACAGCATGTAACAAACGCTATATTAATAAATCATAATGGTAACATTAATTATACAATTAATTAATAATTAATATCTATGTTCATGAAATTTAAGTTCAACTTTTAAGGTCCCCTTTTCTACATGACCACAATTTGAGACTCCTAACCTATAACGTGCAGGGCATGAGAACTTCATTCTGATGCCCCACATTAAGTTTTTAGTAACAAAGATAACGTAACGAGGAGCACTTGCATGGTGCCATGGTGTGGATAATTGAATAATTGTACCACATAACTTTCACAAAGCTCCCCATTTTTTTCTAGGATGTAGGCATTTAGTACATCTCTACCTGGCATTTCTGTCGCATTGGCCGTAGCTGTTTGATAATAGGTGTAAGAGATGTCTTCTTTCCTGCAATCTTAGCATGCAGTTCCTGGACCATCCCTGATATATTTTCCAGGGTTTTGCCTAAAGTTGAAAACAATAATCATTGCGTATTTTCCAATTCAGCTATGTCTGTATGTCTAGAGTAGGTATGCATATATAACATTTATGTCATGTATTAATAGCTGCAATTTGCAAATTATATTATTAGAGGAACACTAACAACTAAGGGTCTATTTTGTAATCCTACACACTACTGCTTGCATATGATATTCACAATTATATTACTTTTGGGAGATTCTAAACAATGTAACAAATGACACTTTCATCTTCTATATACAGTTTTACATTCTCATTATGCTGATAACGTCCATTGACTTAATCTGAATCGTAATGCCACGCTTTCTAATGATCTCTGCCACACCCTAAATAAGCAATGCCCTGCCCGATCTCAACAAATCTCTTCCATTAGCCCAATAGAATAAAAGAGAGCTTACATACCTTTCTCTTCATCCAACTGACTTTTGACGGCAGACACTTGCTCCAATTCCTCCTGTGTGTCAGTAAAACCAGCCACTCCATGTTTCTCCTCTGAACGTCTCTGTCCACAAACAAGAAAGGGTAAAAGAACTGCTACACTCTCGTTTAAATAAATTTAATAAAGGATGAACCATTACAGATTAAATTTCAACAGCTAAGTAAATAAAAAAATGTTTCACACTAGCTCCAAGTGAGGCTGAGAGGGTCTATGTCCCCCAGGGTACTGCCGGAACGTACCCTGGTACTATCTGATATGCCAGACCGTACCTCGCCTACTCCACTAACGAGTCTAGGGAGTCACATACGCCTACTCCCTAACCCTAACTCTAACCCTAACCATATCAGATAGTTACCAGGGTACGTTCCGGTATACCGGACCGTACCCCGGGTACGTTCCGGCAGTACCCTGGGGGACATAGACCCTATGAGCCCAAGTGAGTATGACATGTAGCCTCAGAAGCTATAGCAAGGGCTATAGTAACTTTGATAATACATGGTGTAGAATTTTATATAGTTATGCAGAACGCTTAGATATGATAAAAGACATCGTAGACTAGCCTGGTAGCTAGACACTGTAGGGTAAGGAGGGCGTGTGCTAAAGGAACCTCTACACGTCAGCACTCGGCACAGCTCACCAGGTCTGTCATGATCTCGCCGTCTCGCTCCCTCAGTATTTCCTCGCTGCGTGTGAGTATGCCGACCTCTGCGCGAACCTCAGACAGCTCAGTGCGCTTCTTCTTGTACTCGTTATTCTTCACCCGAAGCTTCGCCACGTAGCGCTTGAACTGTCGCAGATGAAACCGTCTCCACGTGAGAAGCGAAATTTCACCTAAACCACTGTAGCTAGCTTGTTCACTAATACCGTGCTTCTATCTAACATGTGTAGGTGCTAGCTTCAAGCAACAACGTTACGGCTACGAGTTTACATATACAGTGGAACCCCAATTTTAAGCGCCCAAATTTAATGCGAATTCGGATATAACGCGATAAGACGTTGGAACCCCTTTTTTGCTCTTATATAGCCACCTATATATAACCCCGCTTTTTTCGCGATGACATTTTATGGACCCCAACCATCGCGTTATAACGGGGCTACACTGTACCTGCAACAGGTAGTACACAGCTAAACCCAGGGAGAGCATATTCAGACACTAAAGGGACATTGGTACATCTAGAAAGCATACTGGTACAACTGCTACAGCTTGAGAAAATTCTTACAGATGTTATTATAATGAGCACATTCCTACAAAAAGGGGACACTACGGCTACATTAAAATAGAGTGCTGGAATGATGTACAAACTTCCATAGACATTAACGTTGTCAAATAAAAACTAATTGCAATCACACATTAATTGTAACAATGAGTCGAATGTCATTATATCATCTATTATATCATATCGTTACACCATATCGTCACATCATATTGTCACATCATATCGTCACATCATATCGTTACATCATATCGTCACATCATATCATTACATCATATCATTACATCATATCGTTACATCATCTCGTTACATCATATCGTTACATCATCTCGTTATATCATATCGTTACATCATATCGTCACATCATATCGCCACATCATCTCGTTACATCATATCGTCACATCATCTCGTTACATCATATCGTTACATCATATCGTTACATCATATTCATTACATTTATCATATCGTTACCTCATATCATTCATTACATCATATCGTCACATCATATCATTACATCATATTGTTACCTCATATCATTCATTACATCATCTCATTGTATCATATCATTACATCATGTTGTTACCTCATATCATTCATTACATCATCTCATTGTATCATATCATTACATCATGTTGTTACATCATATCATTACATCATCTCCTCGCAGCACGTCTCCAACGTCTAGTTCTTTCAACGAAGATTTCTTCTCTTCGAGGTCTGTCTCCAACTGGGAAAGCTCATGTCGGGCTTCCTCTAGCTTGTTTGCTGCTGCTTCCTTCTTACGGGACACCATCGCAGCCTGCACGCACATACACACACATACACAGACAGTTACACATGCATAGTGATAGATAATAGTAGCTGAAGTGGAATATATTAACATTCGATTATTACTCGTTTTGTACGATTCTTTCCACCATGGTCCTAAATTGTGATTGTGGTAGTATAGCTATTACCTGTACTAGTATAGTATAGTATAGTATAGTATAGTATAGTATAGTATAGTATAGTATAGTATAGTATAGTACTAGTATAGGTATAACCTGTGGATACACAGATATCACTGTAATAACACTGATGACTTCATTATTTGTCTAGATTATAAACGGGCACAGACAATTAAAAGTTTTATTGTATTTAAAGTCTTATAACAAAAAATAAATCTAACAGCTTAATTCCAAATACACTAACTCAATTATTAGTACTCAACAAATATATATAAATATCAAAAACAAACCTGTTGTCTAAATAGTGCAGTTTTGTCTTCGGGATCATTTGTTTCCAACATCTTTTTCTCAATTAGCTGATTTATTTGGGCATTAAGATCTTTTATCTGTAATAAAAGAAAAGTACTATAAAATTGATAATTAGTACTACTGATTTATGATTTTCTTACGCAATATTTCGTGAAACACAGGAAAATTGCATGCATGTGGGTATTCATTTGTATTACGCAAATTCAAGCAGACATGTGTGATAGCTATATGCAGTAAACTCGGTGAAATTTCTGAACACTCGCGATGTAAACAAACTCAAGTCTATGATATGTGTTGCGTGCAATCTCACGGTCTGCTCAATCTAGCAATCCGCCGACTGTGCGGCAACCTCATCGAACTCTAGCATCCCAACCCACGCTAATAAACCTGCATGCAAAACCGGACCTGTGTAATCTCATTGAACTCTAGCAGACTAGCACCCCAACCCACGCTGATAAACCTGCCTGCAACACCCTGTAAAACCGGGTCTGCACAATCATATCGAACTCTAGCACCCCGACACGCGCTAATATAGATTACTATAATAACACTATCATATGTACAATCTATCGATGTAAAATCAGTAGACTGCGCATTTCGGTAACATGTGTTCGCAATTCTGGCACCCAGTATGGCCGGCGGCCTGGGATTGTAGGTAATATTGCTATTTTTAGTGCAAGTCGCAGAACCCTCTATTGTGAAACTAAGCTAGTATCAATGTAGAAGGAAGTGCACTTAATGTGCATTTACCCACATACATGTGACCACGTGTGCCCATGCATGTCTGTACTTCAGTGCGTTCGTGCATGCCTGGATGCGTGTGTGCTTCCGAGGATGCATACGTGAATCACCCACCATTTTGTTTAATTCATCCAGGTCGGATTGTCCCATCGCTGGCACGGAAGCAACCTTCTGAAGATCTGTGCATATGGCCTGCAGCGAGGCAATCTCCTTTGGATACTTCTGCTCAACGAGGTACTGATTTGTTTTTGTTTCTTCCTCGAGCTGTTGCATCAGGTCTGTAACGTAAACTCTCCTGTAAGCTTCTAAAATATCATTTTCACGATGCGCACATGTTCCATGACTAACCGATTTTTAAGCAAGTAATTACATAACATTCAAATTGTCACTTAATTTCACTTGGAGTTATGGCTATTATAGTAAAACGTGATAGATTACAAATTTAAGTGGATCGTTAAAATTATATTTGCTACATAGTTCAATTACTATATGATATTAAATCATAAATAAACTGATGTCGGCAATGAATTTTGCAGCTCATTAACCTTCTGGTGTCGTCTTTATTCCAGCGTGTCTCATGTCTTTCAGCTGCTGCTGTATTCGTTGGGTTCGTTGCTCTGCCAGCATCAGCTTTAATGACAACAAGAAACAAAACTGGCAGTAGCTATTTAAAACTTGCTTACATTATCTAGTCTTCCAACTATACTAAACCTAGCAAACAGGATTACACACAAAAGAAGTTATTTTTTACACATAATTAATGACCATATTTAAGAATACCAATTTCTAGCGAAGCTAGTGGAGAGATAATTAAACAAATTATTAGCTTAGATTATGGTTACACATCTCATATGCAGTACTATACATTATTGTTTACAATACTCAAAAATACAAATGGCAGTGGTATACAGTGTTCTCATTAGGAACCGGCCACCGGCCGAATTGACCGTCTACTCTGCTGTTTCGGCCGGTTACAATTGGCTCAAGTATTTTTATTTTTTTTATTTTTTTTATTTGCATTTAGTTTGCTCTAATTATTCTCCAAAGTGAAAGTGTTTTATGAGCTACTACTAATAAATCAGTTGAGTATATTTGT